TGTTCAGCATACGTGAAAAGCCTCTTGGTGTTATTTTAGTGCACGAACAGACACGCGGAGATAATCCACACTCTGGCTTTTTCTGCCACAGATCGTAGCGTTGGACACAAGAACAGGATCGAGGTTATGAAGTGGAACAACACTGGGCAAACTAAACATGGCTTAAAAAAAAACCAAACAAACAGCAACATGAGATGTGTTTGATTGAACCAGGTCACACTCAGTGATTAGGGATTACTAATCCCTAATCTCTTATTATAACATACAAGGGTTCTTTTAAGAAAGAACGTTTGGTTGGAAACGTTATTGAACAGATTGTTATTCTGACGCCAGTTTAAAAAATAAAGGATGAAGATGGTTTGGAAATAAAGGAGAGTGAGATTATAGGCCAAAATTTAGGCTCCAAGATTAAAGAAAACAATAAGAAAAATGAAAACAAGAAAATATGAAAACTTTTGCTGTAAATTAATATAAACTTAAACCAAGATACAACAGGTGTCAGTGTTTCAGCTCAGAACTGTTCTTAGGTTCTAGAAGGTTCAGACTAGTTGGTCCTGGTCTGTTAATATCTTTTCAGTGATCCATTACAGATTTACAGAGAATTTAGTGAAAAAAATATTTACTGGGGACAATAAAGTAGTTAAATAGCAACAGGTTCTTGATCTTTACTCCATGTTTTGGTTCGGCACAAACTGTACTGTGATCATGGACCACCTGTCAATCACATACTGTACGTCATCAAATATTGTTTATTATCTGACTCATTAATAATCATCATCATCGTCGTCATCATTATTTTAGTGATGACGTGGAGGCCACACGTGGCTCCGTCTAATTAAATCAACTAATGAACAACATTAACAATGACAACTTTACAGGTGTGTTTACGTCACGTCCACAGCAGGGTTGGTGAACAGTCATGCGCAGAAAACATAAAACTGCACAAGAGAGTCGACTTTTATTTGTTCATATGTTGGTCATGCTGTTGTTTACCACTAGTTTAGTCACAGTGTCGTGTTTACGCGGCTGGTGTTGACAAAACAAATCTTCAGGTACGATGTAAACAAATTGAAAGAACGTTATTTTTTGGGAGATTAAAGTGTATATTCTTCAAATTTCCACCTGAAGTATCTGTGCGCGCCCCCGTTTGTTTATATAAATTGCCCGTTTGTCTTTCACTCACCCACGACACGATGCGGATGATGGTCTGAGGTTGCTGGATGAAGGTGACGGGGTCGAAGGCTCCTCCGGCTTTCCCGGCCCCATATGCCTGCATCCCCTCCATGGTCCTCCTCCTCTTCCTCTGGTCCTCCTCTCCTCTCCTGTCCTGTCCTCCCCGCTGCAGCGGAGGCGCAGGGTGTGTGTACGTAAAGCTGGGAGAGCGACTCCTCCGGATCTGCCTCCTGCTGCGACCTCTTCTCTTCTAATCTCTGCTTCTTCTAAGGAAGGTTGATGCCTTCTTCTCCTCGGCTCCTTGACGCACGGCTTCTGTTTCCCTTTTTCCAATTTAACCTCTAAAATCCCCCCCCCCTGTCCTCCTCGGTGACTGGGCAGAGGAGCTAATGTTTTGGTGATGCTCTCTCCGAGCGCAGGAGCCGGTGTTGATGGTGTGCTTGTGTACGCGCCTCAGGACAGGCGCTTACACGCGCACGCGGGCGTATTCACCACGCAACGGGGGCGTGTACGCTGAAGTGACGGGGCGGCCACGCGCCTGTGCTCACAGGTGGTCACGCGCCATCACATTTTTTTCCACGAGGGATTTTTATCCCCCGAGTTCAAACAACAGGCATGACAAAGAGACGATACGGAGTCCGTTGCACAAAGCAGGGTTTTGTTACATGCACATTAGCAGGCTGAAGCGACACAAATTGTAATGTTTTAGGTGACGTCATTGCAGCTTCAAAAAGTCCCCTTTCACAGCTGCACGGACAGAAAAACGGTCCTATTTTTGGCTGTTTCCCCATTCACGAGAAACCACACAGTAATACAGAAACCTAAAACTGTTCTATTTTTGAAAGATCTTTTATTTACATATAAACACCACTTTATTTACTCACAATGGGAAAAAAAAGGATTTAATGGCGCTTACTCACATGACCACTTTATTTACTCAAAATGAAAAGGATTTAATGGCGCTTACTCACATTTATTTATGAAACACTGCAAGTTATGGTAAAAGTGATGTTTCTGTTAACTTGGAGGTCCTTCTTTATTTTCTTATCTAATTATTTTGTTAATTTATCCGCGTAAAATACGCTAAATCAGGGAAGGGAAAATTATTTAATCCAACTGTGAAAATCAATTAGCTGTAAATTCGATGTTCTGGCTTTATTTTGAGATAATTCAGTGGAGGACGTCCATTACATTAATAGACGTCCAATAAATAACAAATCTGATTATACGCTCATTGGCCTAAACTGCTGCATGGATCATCGAAAGAGACTCAGACATTAGATGATATTCTGCCCTAAAATAAATACCCTCAATTTGGGTCCAAAGGTTTCTCCTTAATTTATTTAGAGTATAATTTTAATATAATCTATAAAATGCACTTTATTTACCTATAATTTAACTATATCTGCTATTGCTTAATGCTAGCAATTAAAACAATTCGACAAAGAGATTGGATTGTTTAAAGTTTAAAATTGACCAGGTGTGAGCGAAAGGAAGCCTGTCAGACTTTCTAGAGGGATAAAAATTCCTGTACGCTACTCTGCTTACGTAATCGAAAACAGCAAATAGCAATTGTCCCTTGTTTATTACGGCGATATTGCTTGGACCAATCAAATAGCTCTGTGACTGGTTGCTATGAGACGCGATGTGTACATGTCGCAGCTAAGCAACATTTGTTCCATCGAACAAGTTCATAGAGCGTTTTCAGAATCGAAAGGTTAACGTAAAACAATTTGAAAATATCGTCTGTAATGGTGAAACTAAGAGCAAGATGCCTGGTCGTAGGTTAGTTATTTTTTTTCTAATTATTTGTATACTTACCGGACAATAGCTCTAAATAAGCTAATGCTAACTAAGCAACATTACCTTAGACCTCTATGTGTAATTTTCTTAGCTACAAATACATTTAGAAAAGCTAACAATTTAGTAATAAGAAAATGCTGCTGTCGGAAGAATCGTCACATAATACAAGTCACCACGTGTACGTTTTATACACTTCAATAACGTCGCTGCTAAATAGTTTGTTACTATAACCTAACGACTGTAAATACGTTTGTTTTGGAAACAAACCAGAAGTATTTTTATTCACGTATAGTTTGACTGGATTAAAAAAAATCCTACATTCAGACGAGAGCTCCCTTATAAACAATATAATACTGATCATTGTTTTTTAAATCTCTGTGTGTGTGTGTGTGTGTAATCGAAAGAGACTCAGACATTAGATGATATTCTGACCTAAAATAAATACCCTCAATTTGGGTCCAAAGGTTTCTCCTTAATTTATTTAGAGTATAATTTTAATATAATCTATAAAATGCACTTTATTTACCTATAATTTAACTATATCTGCTATTGCTTCATGCTAGCAATTAAAACAATGGATTCGACAAAGAGATTGGATTGTTTAAAGTTTAAAATTGACCAGGTGTGAGCGAAAGGAAGCCTGTCAGACTTTCCAGAGGGATAAAAATCCCTGTACGCTACTCTGCTTACGTAATCGAAAACAGCAAATAGCAATTGTCCCTTGTTTATTACGGCGATATTGCTTGGACCAATCAAATAGCTCTGTGACTGGTTGCTATGAGACGCGATGTGTACATGTCGCAGCTAAGCAACATTTGTTCCATCGAACAAGTTCATAGAGCGTTTTCAGAATCGAAAGGTTAACGTAAAACAATTTGAAAATATCGTCTGTAATGGTGAAACTAAGGGCAAGATGCCTGGTCGTAGGTTAGTTATTTTTTTCTAATTATTTGTATGCTTACCGGACAATAGCTCTAAATAAGCTAATGCTAACTAAGCAACATTACCTTAGACCTCTATGTGTAATTTTCTTAGTTACAAATACATTTAAAAAAGCTAACAATTTAGTAATAAGAAAATGCTGCTGTCGGAAGAATCGTCACATAACACAAGTCACCACGTGTACGTTTTATACACTTCAATAACGTCGCTGCTAAATAGTTTGTTACCATAACCTAACGACTGTAAATACGTTTGTTTTGGAAACAAACCAGAAGTATTTTTATTCACGTATAGTTTGACTGGTGTAAAAAAAATCCTACATTCAGACGACCCTTATAAACAATATAATACTGATAATTGTTTTTTAAATCTTTGTGTGTGTGTGTGTGTGTGTGTAGGAGATGCTGCGGTGGGGAAAACTGCGCTCTCTCACTTGTTCAACAGTGACGGTTCTCTCTTCCAGAAGAACTACAGCATGGTAAGAGGAGTTGATGCAGGAGTATTACAGTTTTACACTGAAGTGTACTTCATACTGTATTAAGTACTAGAATCACCATTAACCCTATTATTTCCTTTTTCTGTCTGTTTCCTGGGTGCAGTAAAATGCAGTGTTTGGTGTAATCAGTAGGCTCTAAATTTCCTTAACAAAAAAAATAAAAATAAATTCAATAAAACATCATACATCAGTAATACTACAGTATCTGTGAGCACTGAAAGGGACCTGCAGAGTGCACTGAACTATTCTCTGTAGTGAAACAATTTATATTCACATCAGACAATCATAACAGAGCAGTCAGTTGTAAAGCACTCGGTTGAGGGGATAAAGGGATTTTGTTGTTCACTGTTGCAAAGACTGGCCACAGTTTTTTACAGTACAGTGTTTTAACATTCAGTGTGGGTAACTAAGCACCGGGCTTAAAGGAGCAAATCCTGGGTCTGTCTCACAGCCTGCCCAGGATACATCCAGTACAGGAGCAGCAGATTTATGCCCACGCTGTGCAGTGTTTGTCATTAAGTTTATCTCTGCTTCCTGACACGGTGCCAGCAAATTTATCTGCAGATAAAAATTCTGACTTTTAAGCAAAAATTCCACCTTAGTACTGTTCAGATTTGCTCTTATTGAGATTTCCCAGAGAGAAACAAACCAGAGCAGGTTTAAGTTTAAATCTGTGCAATTAATGACTTAGTCTAAATCCCAGGAATTAGCAATGAATGACTTAGTCTAAATCCCAGGAATTAAAACTTGAACCAGGTGTTGATCGTCCCTGCGACGGTACTGTATCTGTCACGCCAACTCATGATCATGCACCGACGGCATCTGTCACGCCAACTCATGATCATGCAACGTAGTTACTCCCATGACTCCTGGAAAGCTTTTCAAGGACCTGTAGAGGTCTCGTTAATCTAGCGCAGGAATCACTGAAGTGCAAAACAGCATAGCGTGCCAATTACTGCTGACGCAGTGGAGGCTAATCTGCATTATTTATGCTAATCTGCATAAAGGAAAGAAGCGTGTCATTAACCTGGCTGGGTGATATATGGGGTCGCGGCTGCTCACCGATTCCCACTGTCAACGTACGCTGCTGACTGCACACATGCACCGCACATGCAAATGAATGCCTTCACTTGTCACAATCAATATATGGATCAGAGCAGCCTGTGGGAGCATTTATTTGTTACATTAACTCAGTTTACTATTAGGCTTTGCAGATGGTTAGGGTACAGCACCGGTTGGTGAGTACATTACTGGACAAGAGCCAAGTGTGTGGGTCCAAAGGTTTCTCCTTAATTTATTTAGAGTATAATTTTAATATAATCTATAAAATGCACTTTATTTACCTATAATTTAACTATATCTGCTATTGCTTAATGCTAGCAATTAAAACAATTCGACAAAGAGATTGGATTGTTTAAAGTTTAAAATTGACCAGGTGTGAGCGAAAGGAAGCCTGTCAGACTTTCTAGAGGGATAAAAATTCCTGTACGCTACTCTGCTTACGTAATCGAAAACAGCAAATAGCAATTGTCCCTTGTTTATTACGGCGATATTGCTTGGACCAATCAAATAGCTCTGTGACTGGTTGCTATGAGACGCGATGTGTACATGTCGCAGCTAAGCAACATTTGTTCCATCGAACAAGTTCATAGAGCGTTTTCAGAATCGAAAGGTTAACGTAAAACAATTTGAAAATATCGTCTGTAATGGTGAAACTAAGGGCAAGATGCCTGGTCGTAGGTTAGTTATTTTTTTCTAATTATTTGTATGCTTACCGGACAATAGCTCTAAATAAGCTAATGCTAACTAAGCAACATTACCTTAGACCTCTATGTGTAATTTTCTTAGTTACAAATACATTTAAAAAAGCTAACAATTTAGTAATAAGAAAATGCTGCTGTCGGAAGAATCGTCACATAATACAAGTCACCACGTGTACGTTTTATACACTTCAATAACGTCGCTGCTAAATAGTTTGTTACCATAACCTAACGACTGTAAATACGTTTGTTTTGGAAACAAACCAGAAGTATTTTTATTCACGTATAGTTTGACTGGATTAAAAAAAATCCTACATTCAGACGAGAGCTCCCTTATAAACAATATAATACTGATCATTGTTTTTTAAATCTCTGTGTGTGTGTGTGTGTGTAGGAGATGCTGCGGTGGGGAAAACTGCGCTCTCTCACTTATTCAACAGTGACGGTTCTCTCTTCCAGAAGAACTACAGCATGGTAAGAGGAGTTGATGCAGGAGTATTACAGTTTTACACTGAAGTGTACTTCATACTGTATTAAGTACTAGAATCACCATTAACCCTATTATTTCCTTTTTCTGTCTGTTTCCTGGGTGCAGTAAAATGCAGTGTTTGGTGTAATCAGTAGGCTCTAAATTTCCTTAACAAAAAAAATAAAAATAAATTCAATAAAACATCATACATCAGTAATACTACAGTATCTGTGAGCACTGAAAGGGACCTGCAGAGTGCACTGAACTATTCTCTGTAGTGAAACAATTTATATTCACATCAGACAATCATAACAGAGCAGTCAGTTGTAAAGCACTCGGTTGAGGGGATAAAGGGATTTTGTTGTTCACTGTTGCAAAGACTGGCCACAGTTTTTTACAGTACAGTGTTTTAACATTCAGTGTGGGTAACTAAGCACCGGGCTTAAAGGAGCAAATCCTGGGTCTGTCTCACAGCCTGCCCAGGATACATCCAGTACAGGAGCAGCAGATTTATGCCCACGCTGTGCAGTGTTTGTCATTAAGTTTATCTCTGCTTCCTGACACGGTGCCAGCAAATTTATCTGCAGATAAAAATTCTGACTTTTAAGCAAAAATTCCACCTTAGTACTGTTCAGATTTGCTCTTACCGAGATTTCCCAGAGAGAAACAAACCAGAGCAGGTTTAAGTTTAAATCTGTGCAATTAATGACTTAGTCTAAATCCCAGGAATTAAAACTTGAACCAGGTGTTGATCGTCCCTCCGACGGCATCTGTCACGCCAACTCATGATCATGCAACGTAGTTACTCCCATGACTCCTGGAAAGCTTTTCAAGGACCTGTAGAGGTCTCGTTAATCTAGCGCAGGAATCACTGAAGTGCAAAACAGCATAGCGTGCCAATTACTGCTGACGCAGTGGAGGCTAATCTGCATTATTTATGCTAATCTGCATAAAGGAAAGAAGCGTGTCATTAACCTGGCTGGGTGATATATGGGGTCGCGGCTGCTCACCGATTCCCACTGTCAACGTACGCTGCTGACTGCACACATGCACCGCACATGCAAATGAATGCCTTCACTTGTCACAATCAATATATGGATCAGAGCAGCCTGTGGGAGCATTTATTTGTTACATTAACTCAGTTTACTATTAGGCTTTGCAGATGGTTAGGGTACAGCACCGGTTGGTGAGTACATTACTGGACAAGAGCCAAGTGTGAGTGTGTGTGTGTGTAGTGTGTGTGAGTGTGTGTGCGTGTTGTTCAGCTCCTGCTGTGTCGGCAGTATGGGTGGTTCTGAAGTGACAGCAGTGTCGATAATTAATACAGCAGGATTCCCAAAAGCCACCAGAACAGGTACTTAACAAGTGCACTCGGCCGGTGCTGGGTTCTCCACTGCGTCTGCTCTCACACTTCCTTGTTTGCGACGCTGCGTTCGCAGGTCTGGTCATGTTGGAAACAGTGGAGCTTCAGTACCACAGAATGTTCTAATTTGCGCGACCTATAGCATTGGTATTACGTTAAAATGACAAGGCGGGCTGTGAGAGAATCGCACGTCTCGACCCCGTGTCCACCGAGTCCTGCTTTATTAACTGTGAAAGAAAAAAGTCCATCGCAGAGGACCGGTCCTGGTCTCTTTTGTTGCTATGCAACCACTCCCTACAGCTTCCCACAGTTTGGCTTTACATTTATCAAAATGAATCCTGTTTTTCTTTAGCAGTTTGTATTGGCGATACGATACGTATCACGATACAGGGACGACGATATGATATATTGCGATACAATAGGCACGATAATGTATTGAGTTTTTTTTTTCAAACAGTGTGATCCTAGTCTGAGACTCTGTTCCATCTGAACATCAGTTCCTAACTCTGGAACAGAGGGATCTACATTTGGAATCACTAGAGAAGAAAGAAAAGAAGAAGAACATGAACCAACACCAGGAATATTGGACTGTTAAAAATGAAAAAAAAAAATCAACACAGTGCTGTAGAAAATCGATATATTGTGAAGAGAAATATTGTGATATTTCAATGATATTGTTTTTGTTGCTCTTCAGTTGTAATTAAGTAGCAGTTTATCGAGCTTTGGACGATCCAACTGGGAGAGTGACGTCTTAAAGGTCGTGCTCTACGGAAAAGGAGAAAAAAGTAAAGTTCTATTAAGTTTCCAGATAGATTTCCAACTATTTTGCATCTTGGTGTCTCCCCCTTGTGGAAATGTATAAGAATGCAGGTCTCTGACACTTCCAAAATTAGCAATCAGCCAACTGCCAACGTGCAGCCACCCACCATGACAGTCAGAGTTGGAAGTGAGTGTAGAGAAAGAAACATGGATGATATTTATATATTTATAACGACAGGAGCAGCTGCGAAATTCACAAATATACGCAGCTAGATTTTAGTGTTTTTTCTTACTTCCATTTAGTCCGTCGGCCGACCGTCAAAGTGGTCCCTGACATTCTTCAACTTTTGATTTTGAAAGGTAGATAAAGGCCTTTCTGCTCACGTCGTCCTTTGAAAATGTCAGATGGCCCGTTAGCAATATTCCAAGCTTATTTGTTACTAATAGGCCCTCATTGACATTCCAGGGAGAGGCTTCCGATGCATCACGGCAGCTCATTACACTGCTCCTGAGCCAGGCCACTACTGCAACTCTGTGTTTCGTGTGCGTCCCAGCGGGCACTTGTTATGAACTGCTGCAGATGAATGCTGATCTGGAATAGTTTGCGCGCGTTCGTTGTAATTCACAGTGTGGGAAAAGTGCATCTTTCCAAGGTTCTGGTCCCCGGCATTTGCCATGCTCACTTAAGTGTGAGCTCAGGAGATCAGATCAATTTGGAGTTTGTTGCTGATGCGAAGAATCCTTAAGTGGCCTCCTCAAGGTCACCACTGAACTCCTACCACGGGACGCCGCAGTCCGCAGCCATCCAGTCCACTTAGGACCGCCTCTGATCTGGTGCCTGCTGAAGAATGTGCACCTGTGACAAGTGCAGATTTATTCCGTCCTTGCTACAATCTCTGCTTGACGTCTATCATTTACAAAGAAAAACTGCCGTGTCCTCCGTTTCCCCTGCGTTAATTAGAAATAAATCTCGGCCGCTCGCCGCACATCTGCAGCCGCTGCAGATTTGGTTTGGTTTTGTGCATAATGACACGCGACAAAAGAGAGAGTAATTATATGGTTTTTCTAAACAATCGAATTCACACATGGGCCAAACAACATGGTAACTATGGCAACTCATACAGGGGTTAGTACAGGTAAACAGATATCGGAATCGGAAATTAAGTGACAACACAATGGTTAGTACAGGTAAACAATATCGGCATATCGGATCTTGGCAAAAAGTTAACACTGGACCGGCATATTGGATCTTGGCAAAAAGTTAACACTGGACATCCCTAAACAACGACTTCCTGTTTGTGTTTTGTTTCCAGACAACTGGAGTGGAGCTGCTGATGAAATGTGTGAACATCCCAGACACCAGTGACAGCGTGGTGAGTCCAGACGTTTGGCTTACGATGGTTTTTGAACATGTAATGAATTCCATCTGAATCTATAAACTGTCCCCCAACCATATTTGAACGTTTCTCCTCCAGGAGCTCTACATCCTGGACTCTGCAGGGAAGGAGGCGTTAGTGGACGGCTGTGAGAAAATGGTGAGGGTTTTTCACACTCAGTCATTTTTCTTTTAGTTCAAAAGTTAAACTTCCTGTACGTCTTTTTCCTCCACAGTGGGGGGAGCCGTCTCTGCTGTGTCTGGTTTTCGATCTGACCAACAAGCAGTCGTTCACCAACTGCAGCCGCTGGATGGAACGAGTCCGAGTCTGTAATAAAGGTTTTCACATCCCAGGTGAAAAACACGGAGTCAATGGTCGAGAAGTTAGGCTAAAAAATATCCACCTGAACAGGCTAGGAAAATCCTTCTTCACTTCTACCAAATCTGGAAGAGGAAGATACTTTATACTTTATCTTTTAAATCGCCTTTTTCTTATTGGTCGTTACAAAAGTAATTACAGAAGTTTTTACACTTTTTTTTAGCGTTTTTGGCTTTAAGGAAATCTTCTTGGTTTAGGTGTGGCACTTTTCAGTAGCAGCATTTTGAGGGTGTATGGTGCCCTCTTGTGGCCATAAATGAATGAGCTTATATTTTGATATATTAAAGCTACTCACAAAAGTGAGACTTATAGTACGAAAAATACGGTTTTATGAATTTTTTTTGTCCATCTCGACAAACTCGCCTTTACAAGTGACGACATTTTTCTGACATCTGTGTTTCAGGAGTACTGGTGGGCAACAAGTCCGACCTGACCTCCAGAAGAGAAGTGGAAGCATCTGCAGCCCAAGAATGGGCCCAGAACCAGGGGTTGGAGTACTGCGAGACGTCAGCTGTGAGTGTCGTTCAGTGACGATCTTAACCTGTGGTCGTCCGACCTGACGGTCACACTGGAGACGTTCACATGTTGGTGGAAGATGTTTAAAAATAGAACGATTTATTTTAGTTCAGTTCAGTTTGGTTTGGTTCAGTTTGGTTCAGTTTGGTGTCACATCAGAGACGTGCAGCGACATGAATCATTAATGTTTGTCCTTGTTTGTCTCCTGCAGAAGGAGATGGAGAACTGTGACGCTCCGCTCCGTGGTTTAGCCCGAGCCTTTCACTCTCTGTACCATGAACGCCGGGAGGCCATCCAGAACCTGAGCCTGGGCTAAAAAAAAAAACAACTCTTTTTTTGGACTCAAAGTGAGACAATTACAGGAAGTGACATCATGATCGATGCTAAGTGCACTTGAACAGAAAACACGAAACTACGGCACAAACACATCACAGGTGTCTCTACAAACAGAGCTGATCAGTGCAGTACCAGACATCTCCACCAGGTTCTCATTGTCACTGACCTTCCAGAACTTTCCAGGTTTGATCTGAGAAAAGACAGACTGAAGATTAAAACCCCAGTCCTGTGATTTTATGATTCCATATTTTCTTATTCAAATAACACACACACACACACACACACAGGTGTGTGAAACGACCGCGGGCCACTTCCTGTGGAGGACGGAGAGCGGTGGCTGCGTCTTATTGCTTTTTTAATATCCCCCTCATATGGAGGCGAGTCATCTCTGATATCTTGAAAATAAAATAAAAGAAAAAAAGAAGGAGGTCTGACTTCATTTGTGCGTCTCCCTGACACCATCAGTCACCGCGGCCGTCTGAACGCCGCCGCCTGCTGCCGTCGTCAGGATTCGACACACGTTCGGCGCCGACCACAACAAACACCTGCTGTTCTACTTTTAGCCACATGAGAGGGCAGGAGCGGCCGCTGCTGCAGAGGAGGAGGAGGAGGAGGAGGAAGAAGCAGCAGCAGGTGATGGAGGTCAAGGGAGGTCAACGTCTTCCTGACTGCCCCTGAACGCAGCACGATTGTTCCTACAGTTTTAAGTCGAGCAAACAGGATCAGCAGTGAATCAGAGCAGGATTTGATCAACTCTAAATAAATTATGAATGACATCAATCCATGTTTTCTCCTCTGTTTTCATGCAAATAAGAACAAATATATTAGATATTTATTATTATTATTTATTCATACTTAATGAAATAATAATATAAAAAATATCCTGAACATGAAGTTTTTGTTTTTTAAATTGATCAAGTGGGTCGGATCGAACACCCCAGTGGGCCGATTTTGGCCCCGGGGCCTTATGTTTGCCTGGCATAAAACAACTCCAATTGTTGAATTTTGTTGGGTCTTTGAACTTCATTATTTCATGTATGTAGTTTAGAGTCAAAAAGTTCCCAGACAGATTTTAAAGTTAAAAACAAGTTGAAACTCGTCTCTCAGGCATCACTTACGTCTCTAATTATTTCATTGCCAAGTTTAATTTAATCAAGTTCTTCATCCATCCAAACAACAGACAGTTGTTTGAATCAGAGCCAACATCAAATTTTTTTAACCAAATCTGTGGAGACTGAAGCCTGGCAACACGTCCTGATTCAGCTCCTGCACATTTTTGTCTTTGGCAGAATTGTAGAGTTAAAAAAATAAATAAATAAAAATACAAAACCCAGTTCTTACTACTGTATGTTCCAAAAAAAAAAAGAGTCTGAAACTCCAGACCTCCGACGACTCCAAGTTCAAGTTACAACTCGAGGAAATCCACACAAATCGATCGATCCCTGATTTTCCTGAGGTGCAGCAGGGAGTTAGCTCAGCAAATGTCGTTTGGATTACTGCGTTCCACTGAGAATACTAATGCAGTACTCTGTGTATTTTAACCTGGTCAGTTTTTCTTCTACTGTTTCGTTCACATATTTACGTCAAAAAACAATTCAAACGTCACCTCGTCCACTCTGTCGGCCTGAGACACACACGAGGAATAAATCTGATTTCCCAGCGTTCCTGAACACATCATTAAGATGAGACAAAGGAACAGTTTGTTACCTGGTGAGAAAGAGTCCACAGTTTTCCACTCGTTCAAGAGTTTTGACCTTTGGTCCGTTGTGCACTTCCTGTGTCTCAGTCATGGACTTCCTGTGTCTCCATCATAGACTTCCTGTGTCTCCATCATAGACTTCCTGTGTCTCCATCATAGACTTCCTGTGTCTCCATCATAGACTTCCTGTGTCTCCATCATAGACTTCCTGTGTCTCCATCATAGACTTCCTGTGTCTCCGTCGTCACATGGTTTAAGAGCCACTCTCCAAACACTGAAGTGTTCCTGTTCTCTTGGCTGCAGCAGCAGAAACAGATCCACCTGTTCAACACACTCATTACTGTCACCTGGGAGGACAAGGCCACGCCCACTGGTCCTGGATTGGTCCTTGTCAGGTGACCAGATGGACTTGGTCAAACCTGGTTACTCCCTCAGTGTTCCTGGATGGTTGTGTTGTTTAGACGCAAACGCTGCCATCTACAGACACAGTGTCCTGACAGTTGGATGATGAAGTTCACGTCTTGGGTCATTTCTTCTGCTCGGTGCTGCCCCCTGTCAGCCAGTTGCCCTCAGGATCACGCCATAAAGTTATAAATCTTTTTATTAACTCAGTTTCTCTCCTTATTTTACCCTCTCCTCTCCCTCCTCTCGTTACTTACTTCATTAAAGTATCAGCTCTGCACTTACATTTCAGTGTGTTTAAAGGAGGAGTAGACCCCCCCCCCCCCCCCCCCCCCCAAAACAAGAGGCGTGTGTTGATAAATCAGGTGTGTGCTGCCGCTGGCTGAGCTTACATCAGCCTGAGAGTCTGCTGCTGCCGCTGGTGGGGAGAAGGGGACACGGGCAGGACA